GCCGTTCAAAGCACTTCATGAGGATGGGGGTAAGTGCAACTGGACGGTAGTCATTGAAGCAGGATGGAGACGACTTCTTCGGGACTGGAATGATGGTGGTGGCTTTGAAGCATGTGGGGACAACAGCCTGGCTTAGCGAGATGTTGAAAATGTCTGTGAAGACATCAGTGAGTTCCACTGCACAGTCTCTCAGTACACGCCCAGGAATGTTGTCAAATTATCATTTGTAGTATAACATTTATAGTACACAGCTGTGTATATATTTATACATTTACAGTTTTGTCCACTAGGGAGAGCAATTCAATCTCTCAGAAAAGACACTGGGGTGTCTTGAGCTCTAAACCATCATTTAAAGCTACAATGTTCTTCCGCAAGACGCACGCAGTTCTGTTTATTAACCGCTAGAGCGCCAGAAGTTACGGACTGCAGCTTTAAATAAACAGACATCACAAACCAAGAGTCTTGGGTTTTACTATATTAACCATAGTTACTACAGTTTATGTTGCTACTGTAAAACCATTATAAATCTGTATGGAATGCACATCCGAGGTGCAAGAAGTTGAATATGAATCAACTTCGTTTTCTTCCCTCTTTAAAAAAAAAACATTTTTAAGTACTGACCACACATTTTGGTACCTTTATTTAATTTAAATATATTATAATTTTTTTGTAAAGATTACTGACATTTTAGTCTGTTATCAGATTTTTATCAACACTTCTTCAACTATACTTTTCACTCTCAAAAAACAAAACAACAAAAAAAAGTAGCCTACTAATATGCACTCCTCAGGGGTAAATAAGGTACAAAGATGTACCTTTTGAAAGAATGTTCTTCTGTACCTATTTGTTCTGAGAGGGTTCATAAACAGGGTAACAAAAAAGTGAAAATTACATTTACAGCTTTTTTTTGTATGATCTGTATTAATTATTTGAGAGAGACATTGCTTTAGGTGTTGGTGACAGAATATGGGATGTGTTCACTGAAAAAAAATTATTAATTGAATTTACAAAAAAAAAATTTAAGGTAAGGGGTTACAATCAATTTATTTTAGCTACATTTAAATAAACAAATTTAGTTGACTAACTTTCAACAAAATTTGTTTATTTAAATGTAGCTAAAATAAATTGCTTACAACCACTTACCTTACAAAAATGAAGTAGATTCAATGAATCATTTTTTCAGTGTTTAGTTAGAACAGCATCCTGCTGTAGCTGCACATTCTCTGTCTCAAAGCGAAGCGCTGCTGCCCCATCTTCACAAAAGTACCTTTGTTTGTGATTCTGTGCAATGTTCAGATTACTGTTCAGGATATGGGAATTAATCACAGATGAAGAACTCCACCTCCTCAGAATCTAGAAGGATTAAAAAAGAGAAAGCACGAGTGTGGGATAAAACAGAAAAAAAAAAACAGAAATAAATTATTTAACTTAAAATAGTGCACAACAAATGGAATATAGCGTAAGATGAATCTTTTTCATTAATAATAATAATAAGATATGGGGATTGTTAGGAGGCCATGATGGTCAGAGGCCAATGGGCAAATTTGGCCAGGATGCCAGGAAAGACATCCTGGGATTTTGAATGACCATGGAAAGTCAGGACCTCGGTTTAATGTCTCAGCCGAAAGATGGTGTTTTTTGACAGTACAGTGTCCCCATCACTATACTGTGGCATTAGGACCCACACAGACCACAGGTTGAGCACCCCCTGCTGGCCACACTAACACCTCTTCCTCTCTCATCCAGGTACTGACCAGCTCAACCCTGCTTAGCTTCAGTGGGCAACCAGTCTTGGGCTGCAGGGTGATATGGCTGCCAATCACTAGTATCAGAATGACATCCCTTAAAGAGTTACCATGGTTATGATGTACATTTTAATAGTAAACTAGATATTAGCCACCACTGTAAATCCATTTAAGAAAAAAGATATTTACTAAATGATAACTTTGTTAATTTAGCCAATGTTACACTTCAAGTAAAAATATAATAACGCATTTTCCTCACAGCTTGATGAATAGATAGACAGACAGACAGATAGATAGATAGATAGATAGATAGATAGATAGATAGATCGATAGATAGATCGATAGACAGACAGATAGACAGACAGACAGACAGATAGACAGATAGATAGATAGCTAGATAGACAGATAAATGACAGACAGACAGACAGACAGATACATGACAGACAGACAGACAGACAGATAGACAGATAGCTAGATAGCTAGATAGACAGATAAATGAAAGACAGACAGACAGACAGACAGACAGACAGATACATGATAGACAGACAGACAGACAGACAGACAGACATAGATAGATAGATGACAGACAGACAGACAGATAGACAAACAGACAGATAAATGATAGACAGACAGACAGATAAATGATAGATAGATAGATAGACAGACAGACAAGCAGATAGATAGATAGATGATAGACAGACAGACAGACAGACAGATAGACAGATAGATAGATAGCTAGATAGACAGATAAACAGATAGATAGATAGATAGATAGATAGATAGATAGATAGATAGATAGATAGATAGATAGACAAACCGACAGATAAATGACAGACAGATAGACAGATAGATAGTTTTTAATCATTAGCTTCATAAAACACCATTTTGTTTCTCTCATGGAAAGATGGAGTCCATGATAAAGAGGTGGTTCTGTGGACATAAGAGCGACCAGCTTCAGTTTAAGGGTCTCCTGCGTCCTGCGGCCAGCAGGGGGCAACAGAGCACATTAGCATGCAGGAGTAGAGTAGGTCAATATGAGTGAACGCTGTAGATTTCAGTGGGTGCAGATTACTTGAGAAATTTGACTATGAGGACTCAGCGAAACATAAGAGCAGAACTGCACGCTTATTTCGGGCTTTTCAGAAGCGTGGAAATAGCGAGGCCGTCGGAGAGAAACTAAAGGACTATGAGGACGAGAAACCGAGAACCAACAGAGACACTAGACAAAGGAGAGTGTTGGATATTTCCATAAAAACACTCCATAACGGAGCAAACAAAGCACAACAACTGTTTTGACACTTACATTGCTGTATGGTTATCGCCATATAAACAGCAGAGACTGGACTGAAACCGACCCTGCGTGGATCAGTTGTGGAAAAAAGCTGGAGTGGTTGAATTTCACTGATTAACGTTACTTGTGTGAAAATGGGGTGAGTTCACTCTCCGCTTACTACAAATGTCAGGAAAGTGACGACGATTGGTTTTGAACAGCGCTGATAACCTCTTTTTGAAGCTGTAGAGCTAACACTTACTAGTGTGTGACAGTTGTAGATTCAGTGTAACTAGTTTGGATCAGTATTTTTGAACGGCGTAAGTTTGGAAAAGGCGGACGCGAGCTCACATTCCAGCTGTGTTTCAAAATCTACTGCGCTGTCTAACTAGACAGCATAATTAGTCATCATTGTCCGTTCAGAGTCAGCTGAAAATGACCAAAGTCATGCCCAAAAACGCTGCACGTGCCTGCAATTTGCAAAATGCTGTCTACTAGTTAGGCGGCTCACTGGATATTTAAGTCACTCTGTCTCTCAGCTCTGATAATGGGAAGAATTTTTCAATATTCCCATCAAAATGATTGTAAAATATTTAGATTTGTGTAGTCTTTGGTGGTTGTTTTTGTAAAATAATGGATTATTAATGCTTTCTGTGATTTAAATAGATGCATGTCGCATTGTAAATGTTACCATCTCCAGATTTTACAGTTTGCTTATAAACTGTGCATTTGTTCAAATTAAACTGTGGAACGCCTCAATCACCTCACTGTTCAACATTCATGATTGTTACTGAGAAGAATAACCTTGAAAGACTGAAACAGCTTATGTGTTACTTTCCATGAATAAGGTACAAAAAAAAAACTTTATTTTTAAATTTGTATAAAATTTATTGATGGTCAACCAATCACAAAAGTTTTACATAAACTGCTGTAAGTGAACATGAAATGAAATTTACCCTATCTTTTTAAATGCATTTTGATGATTGTGAATAATTTGTATATGTTTCAATTTTCTACTTTTTTTGCCAGACTTCTCCAGTTACAGAGTGCTAGAGCCGTGCCTGGTTCCTTTAAGTTTTTGTTGTATTGGTTTTTATAATGGGTTTTGTGAACATGTAAGTCACGATACAGAAGAAATTATATTTCACTGCTTTGATTGTCTCTTCATTTTCTGCGCGCTTTGAAATTTTTGCAATCCTGTTACCAAAATGTGGTAAACTGTAGCAATAAACACTCAGCAGTAGGGGCTACTTTAATTGAGACAAAATATGGATTTTTGATTGATTGAAATATATATCTCATATATGAAAACATTTTTTGATTGATAATTTTTTTTCTCATATAGAAAACATAATTTAGGTGATTTCAATTTAAATTGTTTACTTGTCGTTCCCAATATCTTGTAGTAAAAGTCTTGTTTGACCGCATATTGCATTCAGATAAAGATGCTATGATATATAAAGAGCTCATAGGTCACCTAGTCGTGATATTATGCATTCGTTTCGCCGAAGTAAACTGTTTAAACATGCATGTTTGATGGTGCGTGGTAGGCTGGCTTTGTTGACAAGGATTCAAATTCTCTTCTGTGCAGGCGAGAAAAATGACCTGAGATTGGCCGCTCTCAGATGTGCTCGAATGGCACTCTATAAATGGATTCTTGGAAATTGGGTCAGAGATCACATAAATCAGATGTGAAATTTTAGAACAGCATGCTATTACCCAGCAGGTGACTTCTTGACAGAAAGACTTTTCTCTTTTCCGTTTTGTTTATTATGTGGTCTGCTGTTCCTACTTTCAGTATTTGCAGGATTTGATCGGGTCTTTCAACTAAGAGGCATAAAAAAACATGCAATGGGGTCTTGGGAACTATCCAGGAGGCTCGGTCTCTGAACGAAGACATTGGCTGCGGTGTGAAATTACTGTAGAAGTTGGAGTGGAGCTCTTTTTTATATACAATATTGTGCAACAGAAGTGCTTGATAAACAGTTTCTGCATTGAGCACCTGCACAGCCTTTTCCAGAGGTGTTCTGTCCTAGATAACCTTCCCAGAATGCCAGAGTGATTAAGCATTACCAAAATGTCACTTTGGCCTCTGGAGGTTTAATTCAGGAAAGATTGATGGATCCAGAGTTTGCTATGGTGCCACAACACTGATGACACAGGTGTGACCTTCAGCGTTGTGTGGACAGGGCTGATATGAATCTGGACTGATGGGAAGAATTCAATGAGAGATTACTCGCTGACTTGCCATTAGCATCAGACCATTACTTTCTGGCTGGCAGCGAGCTGATCAAGAGGGCACCGACGTACTAGAGATTATGCTACATTTGAGCGCACTTTCAATCTAGTGATTTTAAAGGGATAGTTGACTTTCTTTTTTCAGCAGAACACAAAAAAGAGGATATTTTGAGAATGTCTCAGTGTATTGTTTATTCATACAATGAAAATCAGTGGGTACAACATTGACCCCCATTGGCTTTTACTGTACGGACAAAAACAATATCTTCTTTTTATCCCATGAGAGAAAACCATATAGGTTTGGAATGCCATAAGGATAAGTAAATAATAAAATGTTTATTTTCGATTGAACTTTCTCTTTATACATTTTTTACACTGATTATGGTGGCCATTTTTGGCAACGGTAAGAACGTAACAAAATGGTATGATCAATAAAGGCTGGAATACTTTGTCTGTTCACATACTTGTGTAGAGTATGTTTCACATTTCTGAAATCAAGGCAAGCCCTCAAAAAAAATCTCCTGTTGCTTGTTGCAATTTACAATGAAGAGATACACTACCGTTCAAAACTTTGGGGTCAGTAGGATATATAAATATAAATATATTTTTTACTGATAAATTTGTTAATTATGTAGTTTTAATGCACTGTATCGCGTTGGAGAAAAACATGTGAAAAATGCATGCATGTACACTATTGTTCAAAAGTTTGGGGTCAGTAAGGTTTTTTTATTTTAAAGAAATGGATATTTATATTCATCATAAATGCATTAAATTGATCAAAATTGACAGTAAAGACATTTATAATGCTACAAAAATTCTTGTTTTTTCAAATAAATGCTGTTCTTTTGAACTTTCTATTCATTAAAAAAACGAATCACGGTTTCTACAAAAATATGAAGCAGAACAACTGTTTTCAACATTTATAATATTAAGAAATATTTCTTGAGCAGCAAATCAGCACATTATAATGATTTCTGAGACTGGAGTAATGATGCTAAAAATTGCCTCACAGGAATAAATTACATTTTAAAATATATCCCAATAGAGTTCACAGTTCATTTAAATTGTAATAATATTTCGCAATATTACTGATTTTACAGTATCAAATAAATGCAGCCTTGGTGAGTATAAGAGACTTCCTTATAAGCATTTAAAAATCAAAGTATTAACCAAAACCAAACTTTGTAATATTAGTGTAAATTTTTATTGCATTTATCATATTGTGTTTGATTAGGACATGGTGTAACATAAATATTGCTGCAGATGCATCTATTCATGTACCTCGCTCGAGAGTCACTTCATTCTTCGTGTTTGTTTGCTAGCAGCGTTGAACAGTCTGGAGTCTGAGCCATTCTCAGAGGTCAGAAATATATCTTTGATTAATCCGTCCATAATCATCTCATGTTGATTTGGTGATAAGAGGATGAGGTGATGTGTCAGACAGTCCAGGCCGGGCCTTTCTCAGCCTGTTAGCACGGCTGTGCCCCTCCATAATCAGATCTGGGTCTGATGTCCCACACTTGACCTTGCATTAGGTGCTTCTCACTCCCGTCACAAGAGCTGCTGTTTCTGTGATCACACCTCTGATATTATATCGACCTACATCAGCCCAAGAATAATGTGTTTGTTGGCATCCTAATGGGGATGTTTTTTTGAAATATAAACATAATGGTGGCTGTCATAAAAACTTGATGGATTTATTCAAACAAACATAAATTAAACATTTGAAGAACAGTAAAATTCTTAATGAATATGTTATGGTGCATATATTTAGCAAAATGCCCCTCTCTACGGTTTATTTTTCTATCTGACTAATGAGCTTATGGTCACCGAATATGTTTTTCTGAGGTAAATGTGACGTTACGTGACATTGTTTACAAGCCATTATATTGACATCTTTGCGTGGCTGAAACACTGATTGAGCGAATACGTGAGACAGGATATGGATTGTAAAGTTGTACTCTTTCTTTTAACTTACCTTCGGATGTTTAGTCATGTTTATTTTGTGCTGAAACTGGTATTAATGTGGAGGAGATGATTAGTTCACGTGCACCTCATGCGTCTGTTGAACTGAGGCGCTACAGCGATCTGTCACTCCACATTAAACAGCCCCAAAATGGCATTTATTGTTTGAATATTGCAATACAATGGACAGAATTTGAAATCTGAGACTTTGTTTCATATTAAAAGTACCAACGCACAATGCTTATTGCAATATATTGGATGGGGAGTGCTCTTCAGTGTTCCGTCCATTAACTGAAAACGGGCTAGACTAATTGATTCTTGGGATTTAAGAATCGATATCGTTCCGTAAAAATGAGAATCGATTAATATCTAGATATCGATATTTTTTTACCCAGCCTTAATAATAGCTTATAATTTTTATTTATTTATTTTTTATTTTTTTGTCTTGGAAGGGAGCAGCCACTACTCAGCTTGAAGGCGCACGTCTTCCAAATTGACCCGGCCACTAAACGAAATTGGATTCCGGCCAGCAAACACGCCGTCACCGTCTCCTTCTTTTATGATGCTGGCAGGAGCGTGTATCGCATTATCAGCGTAGGGGGCACTAAGGTGAGAGACCTCATCTACAGGTCGTCCAACTCAGTGTTATTGATGCAGTTTTTTTAATCAAAAGATGCTGTTGTTGTTGTTGTTATTAAAAGGTGGTATCTTTGTGTTTTGCTCTAATGAAGGCGATTATTAATAGCATCATTACACCTAATATGACCTTCACGAAAACGTCACAGAAGTTTGGCCAATGGGCGGACAGCAGGGCCAACACAGTGTATGGCCTTGGGTTTGCCACAGAGCAGCAGCTTCAGCAGGTAAATGCATGTTGCAGAACGCTTTTATTAAAGGGATATTTCACCCAAAAATGACAATTTTGTCATCATTTACTCACCCTCATGTTGTTCCAAACTTCTATGAGTTTCTATCTTCTGTTGTGCACAAAAGATGATGTTTTGAAGAATGTGGGTAGCCAAACAGTTGAAGGTATAGCCATAGACTTCCATAGCATGGATGGAAGAAAATACTATGAAGGTCAGTGGCTACCATCATCTGTTTGTTTACCCACATTCTTCTAAATATTTTCTTTTGTGTTCAGAAGAAGAAAGAAATTCGTACAGCTTTGAAATGACATGAGGTTGTGTCCCTTCATGCTTAAAAGTTGTGGGTTAAATAAATCAACATAAATTGTCAAAACAAACCAGAAAATGGATTGATATTTGTGTGTTTACACAGGACTTGACACTTATGTTTTTTCCAAGGGGCACATGTGATCCCAAGTTGAAATATTTGAGAGCGCATTCAAAAACGTTAGTGGAGCAATAAAAATGTTTAAAATGTGTGTCTTTGATAAATGGAAACAAGGAGACATTTACAGGCCAAATTATTTAATTTATTAGAATACAAAAAGTACACAAAATAAAATAAAAAATTTAATTAAAAATATTTCCACTTCAATTTAACAACTATATATGTATGTATGTATGTGTGTGTGTGTATATACAGGTGCATCTCAAAAAATTTGAAAAAGTTAACTTATTTCAAAAAGTGAAACTTTCATATATTCTAGATTCATTACATGTAAATAAAACATTTCATTTTTTTGTTTTAATTTTGATGATTAGAGCTTACAGCTCATGAAAGTCAAAAATCCAGTATCTCAAAATATTAGAATATTTCCTAAGATCAATCAAAAAAAGGATTTGCAAAACAGAACAGTTCAAGTTCTTTAAAGTATGTTCATTTATGCACTCAATACTTGGTCCTTTTGAAATGTTTTACTTTACATGTAATTAATCTAGAATATATGAAAGTTTCACTTTTTGATATGTTACAAAAAAATGAACTTTGTCACGATATTCAATTTTTTTAGATGCACCTGTGTGTGTGTGTGTGTGTGTGTGTGTATATACTTCTTTCCTTCATCAATAATGTTGATGAATGTTATAAACATTATTGTAACTTTTTTTTTATTTACATTTAAAATTATTGAATTTTTTTATTAATATTTAAGAATTAAAATCTATTTAAAAATTGTAATTGTAATTTAAAATTTGTATTTATTTATTTATTTATTATTATTTTTGTATGCTTTCATGACGCTCAAGCAGTCGAGCAGTAGTAGTGCTAGCAATGCCAAGATCATGGGTTTGATTCCCAGCAAAAGTACTATGCTAGAACTGATCAAAATTTACACCTTGGCTTTAATGCAGTGTACATTTCTTCAGATAAAGGCATCTGCCAAATGCATAAATGTAAATAACCTCAAAAGGTTACCCTTATATGACAAAATACATCAGTTCTATTTTTATTAATTTTGGGTCAGTGCAACTGCCATTAATTGTGGGTCAAACAGACTTGCAAACATCATAATCGTAATAAAAAATTTGCATGTACGTATACACATTCCACAACACCTCAGAGTGGCAAAACTTTGCAAGCATGTTCTCATCCCCTTAAATGAGAAATATTCTAGGTTAAACCAGTATTTATGACAGGGCAAATTTTGAAAATGTTTGATCCATAACATAAAGCAAGATGTAATGTATATGTATTAATTATGTAATGTTAAGTGATATTTTTAAAGAGGATTTGCTTCCAGTCATGGCTAACAATGACATTTTGCCACATATTTATTGCCAATATATCATGGCCTTTTGTAACTAATTTCTATACAGTTGTTAAAAAGATTTGATAAAGTTACTATGAAGGTTTTCTCTGTAATTGTCTGTGCAGTTCTCAGAGCAGTTTAAAGAGTTTAAGGAGGCTGCGCAGCTCGTCCGGGATAAATCACAGGAGAAGTTTGAGCTGTTGAGTCCTGGCCTAAACATCTCTTCTCCACAGGTAAACACAGTAACTCATATTTAACTTCAGCTAAACCTTTCGGAAGTGTGACTGAAAGCATTACGCTAACATAATGCAATGATTAAAATTTAGACATATAATACCTCATGTTATACTTTTTCAGCTGCTTGATTCAGATAACGTGCCTGCCAGAGCATTTCATTCCATCACTATTAACGCACTAACAATAGCGCAGTGGATCTCTAGTCTGGCCTCTAGTGATATGATACCTAGCACATGGCACGATGTATCAATTTTAATACCAGTCCCACAAGAGAAGTGTTTCACCATGTTTATTGTTTTTCTGAATTCTTAGGAAGTGTGTGTGAGTCACAAAGCATGTCCTCACATGCCAGGAGGTGACACGGAGACACTGGTTGTAGCCTGTGTAGAGTTATGTAACTCCATGCGGTCACCCGGAGAATTCAAAAGCCTTGTTCATTTTACTTTACAGTTGGCTAAACTTTTTCATTCACCATTTGTGACACACTCATTCCTTAATTATCATGCCGGCCTGAGAATATATCAGAGTACACATCAGATCAGGACATTCATTTATATAATGCATATTTTTTGATTAAGCTGCTCATTCCGGTTTGACTTGTTTACCATGAGCTGTGCAGAATATTTATTTAGTCAAAAAATGTCCAGGTGATATTTCACCCCCAAACCAAAAGAAATAAATGAGAAATTGTTGCATTATATATTATATATATTTATGATGATTTAAATTGAATATAATTGAATTTATACAGTAAAAATACTATTACAGTAATGAGAATCACCAATGAGAATAATTGGGGTTTTAAAAAAATAAAATGCACAGATAAAAAAAGGAA